GGGTTAAACGACATAGAACAATGTTTCACCAAAAACAATTGAAGGCAGGCCTGAGGGCCGCGGGGTAGGGTCACCTACCTTTGGCTTGGGAGCATGGCTTTCTGTCCACTATCCAAAATAATTTCAAGTAGGTATTCAGACAAATATATGTATATACATGTATGTAGCTGTACTATTCACTGTAGCCAAAGAGTGGAAACAATGCAATGTTTATGGATGAATGTGCAAATAAAATGTGGTATATCCATACTATGTAATATTATTCAGACAGAAGAAATGGAGTACTGATACCTATTAGGAGATAGATTAACCTTGAAAACAATATGCCAAGTGAAAGGCTCGACACAAAGGCCCACATCCTGTGCCGTTCAGTTTACATGAAACATCCAGAAAAAAAATGCACGTAGTGACGGAAAGCAGATTAATGGCTGCCAGGGACTGAAGAAGGGCTCTGAGAGTGCAATGGGTTAAATGTTCAGCTACTAATTTGAAAGATAGCAGATCTGGAGCTTGGCTTCTGTAAAGTTTACTGGAAGGAAAGAAACTCTATGGGGTAGTTGTCCTATTACATGGGGTTCTATAAGTTGGAATTGGCTTGATGTCACCCAACAAAAAGGCCTGAAGGGAGAAGTGGGGTTATAGGGAGCCTTTTGAGGCAATGGAAATAGTTTGGAACTACATATAGACAGTACTTCCACAACATCCTATGTATATTAAATGCTACTGTGTCTTTTTCTCACACGTTTCGTTTTATTATGTCAGTAATGTGCAATTTAAAGAAAAACGGACTTTAAATAGTACACCTATAGGCTAAGTAGTAGAAACATTTAAAATTTATATTGGAGAGCTGATAGGGCATTTCTGATTGCCTGGTGTTCATTTTTCCAAGTCGCTGAAAAAGTGGGACAAATTGAGTCTGCATGGCAGGACCCCCGGGCTGCATTATGTGGCCATGATGCTTCATGGGAGGGCTTTCTCCATCACCCAAAGGGCACATGCTCAGTGGCTTTACAGGTTTACAAGCTACCCCTGTGTACTCTGAGTTCCAGTATAACTTGATCTGTTCCTAATAATTCTTGTCAGTAACTCAGGTTGGGCTCGCTAGAAGTCTAGAGCCAGGATTTTGTGCAGCTCTTGGCATTTAATGAGGTTCCTGGTGAACATTTGTCAGCCCCACCTCACTCCTATCTCTACCATCCACCTCCCATACCAAGAGCAGAGGGAAAGCCTCATTATGCATCATTGTGCATCGGTGACTCATTCTTACGGTGACTCAGTTATGTCTGTGACTTTAGATCTGCCCAGAAACAGTGGGAGCCTACTACTTCAGAGACGCTCAGATATTTAGAAGTCACTCTTGAGGGGCTGGCATTTCTCTCTCACAAATATTAGAATACTAAATCACATTTCATTGGTTTGTCTGACTGCTCTTCAAGTCTGTGAAGGGTTGTAAAATAATAAAAAATGGCATGCCTTTGGCTTTGAAACAGTCTTAGGTGGGGCAACCCCCCACAGAAATAACATTTCTAGTGTTGTGTTGTTGTTGTGTACTGCAGAGTACACAAAATCAACGCATAGCTGACTCTCTGGCGGATTTTCAGAGGCAGTTAATCGCACGGGAGGAGATTGCCCATCCTTCTGCAGAGCAGCTTGGGGCCTCGAACTGCGTCCCTTCCAGATTGCAGCACAGTGTCTTGCCACTAGGCCACAGAGGTTAATAAAAACAATTGATATTTTCTATCCAGGTATTTTCTAGATGGTGCAAGTGGTTAGGTGTTGGGTTGCAAATGGAAAGATTGGAGGTTCAAAGCACTGACAGGCATCTGCAGAGAGGCCTGAGTACCTATTTCTGTAAGGTGACACAAAGCAGTTTTATTCCATACACTCGGGACCATCATAACAGAGCCAGGTGTTTTCTGTGCTGATGACATGCCCACCCACTGACTTCTCTATCCCCACTGCCAACAAGTCCTTTCTGCTGCATAGAGACCCTCCTTCAGATACTCGAGGCTATAAATCTTAACAGGAGGAGAGTCTCATCATTTGCATGTAGAGCACATGGGTGGATTTGAATCGCTGACTTTTTCTTAAGTCTGATACATGACACATTAGGTGCTGAGGATACATTGTACTCTTGGGTTTATGTTTTACTTTTGATTTTGAGCTTGTCCTAGTGGTAAGCAGCTGTACCACCATATCCCAAAGGCATGAGGTCTATGGAGAAAGATGGACAATGTCCCCCTCTGGGACTGACTGCCTCTGAAAACCCACTGGAAGGTCAGCTATGGGTCAGTTCAGACTGGACGACACACCACCGCCACCTTTAAAAAAGTAAATGAAGGTGTGAAAAAAAAAAAGTACAGTTCGTCTTTAGCTCGTCACTTAAAGTACCAACTTGTGCTGTAAAGTCAGCATCTTGAACTTACTAATATTAACAAAGGGAGCTCTGAGGCCTAATAGCCAAAGAGTTTCACTTCAAATGCAAATACAGACAATTTGAATCCATCAGCTGCTTCACAGGAGAAAAACGGGCAATCTCCTTCCATTCAGTTTAAAGCTTCTAAAAACCTGCTGGAGAGTCACATACGCGTTGATCCTGACTCTATGGCAGTGACTTGAATTGATTTTTTTTTTAAGTGCATGTTTTTATCTTTCTGCTTCCGAGAAATACAGCAGCAATAAAACAGAAGACAAGATGATTACCTAAGTATACAACCAGATTTTCAAACACACACAAAATTAAGAATTTGAATATGCCTTTTTTTTTTTTTTTACCTTTGGAAATTCTGAAGGAATAGTTTAAAACTACCAGCATGCCTACTATTGGTGTCTGTCTGATGGCAAAATAGCTGCTCTGTCACCAGAAACTGATGCAATGGGACATGGTGACAGTCTGTCCAAAGCTTGTCCTTTCCAGCCTTGTGGTCCCTTGGATGGGCTGAAGCTTCCCGTTTGCCAACGACTAATCCTCTCCCACAGCTTTGCCTTGGACCACGCTGTCATTATCTGCCAATGAGTCAGCCTGAATCATGTCAGAGGGACAGACTCTGCTGGGCCCTGGGTCATTACAGGAGTTCATTGGGGTTGCAACCTGAAGACAGATGAAGTGTACACTTAGTGGCAAGGAGCTTCACTGCCAACCCAAAGGCATGTGGTTTGAATCTACCAACCAGCTGCTCCATTGGAAAAAGAGGAGCAGTCTCCTCTTGTGTCATTTATTGCCTCTTAAAACTCACTAGAGGGACAGCTATGAGTCGGGTCTGACTCAGCAGTACGTAACAACCCTTTCATAGGTAGCCCACTCGGCCTTTCTCCCTATGCGAGTGAAAACACACTATAATCTATTGAGTGTCTTACACCGCTCAGGGTCCACACATAGATGGTGGCACCTGCACAAGGCATGTAGGCCAGAACTTCCCTCCCTCCAGGATCTCCGAAAGTCTGCCGCTGAGCCCCAGTGTCCCACCTTGTCCCTTCCTCTCACACTGCCAGTGTCTGGTTGTGATCACAGCAGCCACACTGGACACAGGAGAACTGCCCCACAGAGTTTTGAAGGCAGGGCATATTTCCGAGTGGAGTTCCTCATCTTTCTCCCTTGGAGTGGTTGGTGTATTTGAACTGATGACCCCCGAGGTTGGTGGCCAAGTGTTTTAATGACTATACCACCAGGGTTCCTTCCTTGGCCCACAGAGGAGGGGATTTACTGTCAACCCTACAAACAAAGAGGATTTTATCCTAAAGGCCAGTAGAGGCATACCTTATTTGATGGCATTTTGCCGTACTGCACTTTATGTGACAATTTCTAAAAACTAAAACTCTCTTCAGCTCTGCTGTGTGCTCATTTGTGTCTCCCTGTCCCATTTTGATAATTCTCCTGATATTCCAAATTTCTAAATAATGCAGCTGTAGACTTTAATGGATTATGGTACAGTGGAAATACAAGTTTTAGATGCACCAGGAAACAAAGTAAAAGAAAAATAATCTGCCTCCCTTTATTGCAGTGTTTGCTTTATTAACAATGGTCTGAAACTGAGCCCAAAGTATCTTGGAGCTTTGCTCATACTCTTTCTATTATTGATGTTGGGTGGGAACTGAGTCGTAGCTGACATTTTCAGAGGCTGTAAATCACATGGGAGGAGACTGCCCGTCTCTCTCCTGAGCAGTAGCTGGTGGAGTTCAGCCTCATGCCTTGAGGTTAGCAGCACAGCTTACCCATGAGGCCACCAGAGCTTCCCTTGTCTTGTACTATCTTTCTTTATAGATACAATAGATTTCTAAGAGCTGCAGAAGCAACTCCTTCTGCTCCCGGCACCCCCACAAAACCTCTCAGGACAACACAGGTATTGAAGGGGTGGCGCCTGGCCAGGACCTCTACAGAGAACAGAACACGAGCCTGCATTTCTCTGTAGCATCAGATCAAAAAGTTACTTCATCCAACCTGTCTGTCCCCAAGGTCTGCAGAGTGGGCCAGAGGGCACTTTCTTATCTCTTGGAATTCCTGGTGCAGCAAATGGTTAACCAGCTAAGATGCCAGCTGAAAGTCTGTCCACTCAGAGGCTCCTCAGAAGAAAGACTTGGTAATACTACATAACTAACTACCAGAAACTGTAAGGCCAGAGCTCTGTGCTACCACATATCAAGTTCCCTCCAGGTTGAGTTCACTTGACGGCAACTGGTTTAGCCCTGTCTCTTAATGAAATGGGTACTGTGTTCCTCATTTGGTTGTTAATTTTCCTATATATTATCAGCCAGAATCATAGAGAACAGGGCTGTGTGGTAGGGTACACTTTTATCTCTAATTTTATAGAATACAAAACCCCCCCATATTTCTCAAACAATATTCCTTCCTTAGAAAGAAATGAAGAAAATTAATCTCTCACACGAACACCAGGGTCTTGTCCTTTCCCAAGGTACCAATTGCTATCTATCTGCATGACTGATGAGTTGCAGCCAAAGTTATCATTCTGTCTCAGCACAAAAAGGAGAAAGACATGCAATCTTTTTAAATGCTTCTTTTATTTCATTGGTTGCACATTGGGTGAGTGAACTGAATATTACAACCAAAACATAGAATTGATACAAATTAGACTCCTGCTGACACTGTAAGGTAATGGATGAGGGAATTCTTTAAGTGTTACAGAAAGATTTAGTAGAAATGTTACCAGTGATATGGCTGAAAGCATATTTTGGTGAAGTGCTGTTATGTCCTGAAAACCAAGAGTGAAATGCAGCTCCCGTACAAGTGGCGATTAGTCTCTTAACGACAGTATTTACTGAATTGATATCTTTGTGTCTTGGATATTGGTGGTTTTGTTTTTGTAATTAAACAAAGCATTTAAGATTTATTCATCATAGTCAGGCTTCTGAATATAAACAAACTTTTTGGCAAATAATATTTATACAGAAAAATAGTTTTAGATCCTCTCAAATCCCAGAATTATTCTATAAAATTACATTATAAATAAATAAAAAGCAAAATCTGTTGTACATATATTTGTACATCTATGTATTTGCCTTGCCTCCTCCTTATTGTAAATGGCATATTTACGACTCTTTGCATATTATAATCACAATTCTGGAAAGTGGATATCATAGTAAAAATACAGTCTTCTCTATTTGCTTGGGGATACAGGTGATGCTGTTGATGCCCCATTATTAAAGGGCTGGAAATAGTTGTGTGCTAATAAATTTTGAAGTAAAAATCACAAAACATAAAAAAAAGGAAAGACAATGTTATAACAATTAGTCTACAAAAATATCTCAGTGATTCCCACAATTTACCTTTTAATAATGTATACTATGTTTTCAATGAGTTTAAATGATAGGTATTAACAAAGAAAACAAGAAAAAAAAGAATGCTTTAGGCAAGTTGTAGCATAACTACATTGCTATAGTTGAGAAAATTACAAATATCAATAATACATAAAGATGAAACTACCAAAGTAATACAAGTTAGATACAATACTCTTCCTCAAATTAAAACATATGCAACAATACAAGCACTATGAAAGATTACACTTAGAATGTTATTTTCTTTTGAGCGGGTAATCAAATTCTATGACATATGATAAATAGATAGCAATTAGACTTGGACCAACAAGAATTAAAAGGACAGATTTCCTTTTTCTTAAACAAAGAGTGATATGGTTGGTGCATCTAGTTTTTATAACAGGCGGTGATGCCAAAATTTAAAATATTTTACATTCAATCTCAAAAGTCAAAATACTTCAATCACTAATATGTTCACAAAGGAAATGGATGTTTTAAACAATTACACATAATATTAATTTATAACAGCGGTCTTGCTTTTTAAACAATAATTTAAAAACTACGTAGTTACTGTAGAGGATATGTGCAACATATAAAATGTGAAATATGAAATATTTGGTACGATAGTGCTTAAAATAAACTTTAAAACAAACTTTCGAAACAAAATTTAATTGTATCGCTATTACCTTGAAGATCAACCAAGTATTTAAAAAAGTAAACAACATTAAAATATGTTTCATCCATATATAGTATATATATATGTATGTGTATATATAATATGTATGTACTCGTATTAAAGTTTTTTATACTTTTGAGACATAAAATATGCTTTAAGGTGAAAGAATTAAAAGAACTATTTTTTTTCCATGCTGTAGTCAGTTACAACCCTTTAATCCAACTTTTGAAATGCAAAACAAAAATGGATTTTTTTAAGTGAAACTATCTACTTTTTGCTTACATAGTAATTTAGATTAAAGTCACAGTCCAATTTTCAGTGACTAAACTCAAATTTACTTAAATTAGAATATTATACAGATCTCCTCACCTACAGCTTCCTTGTTTGACTAAGTTTTTAGTTTAGAAGAGTTATTCTGTAATAGGCAACCGGATGGTGAGTCTGAAAGACCGATCCCATAGATTAGACTGTTGGCATGGGCCTCTCTGTCTTGTCTAGCTGGATGAAGTCTGGCAAAATCTAGGCACTTCTACAAAGTCTCTCTTATAAAACAACTTTAAAAATATACTTGTAAAATAATACCTTCAAGACTTTGTTTGGTGGGGTATGAAGATCATACCGTGCAAAGTTTCTTTTTCAATCTATTTAATGTTACTCTTAGAATCACACGATTCAACTCGGCATCTCCAGGCAAACCAAATACCACACTTGGATGTGTCCCCAGTACTTGTGCTTGAATTTCCATTCAAATTTTAGACCTGCAGGACAGGTAAGCAGTTTTACTTCACTTCTTGTCTTTGCTGCAGCATTCATCTTTGTCAAGAAGTGAAACATCCCCCTTTTTTGACCAGTGGGTAACTGAAAATGACAGTAATTGGAAGTAAGAATTGAAAATTGTCCTTGGAATAGGTGCTTTAACTAATGCTACTTGTTTATTGCTAAATTTGAGATCGTCTGAGTCGAAATGAATAAATTGGTTGGACTTTGTGCATCAGCTATAGTTATGGAGATAAGACAATATTCCTAGGACAGAAACTATGTTGAGAAACTCTTTGAAAGTAAACTTTACCCTTTATGTCTTTAAACATCACAGCTGGTATCAGGTAGTTAACTATCTTAGGCTGGAATATACTAAGCATACCATATTTAATACTCAGATATGATATAGCAGCACTAGCTTCTTAGAGTTTGTGGTCTGTCCAGAAGAACTAAATCTTTATTTAGCATGCAGTTTGTGGCAATTCTATTGAGGAGGAAACAGGATAGTATGTACAGTAACAATGTTTAGTTATTCTCAATGCAGATTCTTGGCATTCCATTCCGTTTCTGTTGATTATTTCAGAATTATCTGTTAGAGAAAGAGAGAGAAAAAGACAAATGTGATTTAGACATTCTTCGGTGAAGGAAAATGACGAGTTTAAGTTTTACTCTTTGATAACAAACATTCAAAAATAGAGCTTTTCTTCGACTGTTGCATTGTACAAACCCCACCCTTCATACTGCAAACTTTTCCTTAGATATTTTTAAATAATGATGAACCAAATGTACAGCGTTTTCCTGAGTGACCTGACAGCCTATCTGTGAAGCATGCAGTGTGTTCAGACCCCGATCTTTCTCTCTTTTTTTTTCTCTTACGTTTTTATACATTCACATTATCATCTAATAAAGATCTGCTAATTAGGAAGTCTAATCAGATAATTAGTCTACACTTTAAAAGTTGTTTGTAAAACGTTTAAAAACAAATCAGTATTATTTCTCCATTAACTTGCACTCATATTCAGAGATGTACCATCAAAAGTAATGTTATTCTCGAGATGAAACAATCAGCTTCAAATTCAAGAAATGTTTCAATGTCTCCTATTAAATGAGGGAAAATGGATACTTTTCTACCAGCACATTCTTAATGAATGAAAAAGCACAGCAAAAACCAAACTTTAGAGTGCAAATGTGGGCTTTGAAATGTGATCTCTTTGTCCGACTCCATATTATTATAATGGAGAGAGTTTGCCCTGTGTGACCCAGTCTGTTAAATGTCAAACTTAAATGTCAACATTTAAACCTAGTCTCACAAATGCATTTATTCTTTGAGCAATGGTTTGACCAAACTTTGTATTATTAATAAACAGAATATTTATTTATGAAACAATGAAGAATCTGTGTTTAGGAAATAATAGGTAAAAAAAAATCTTTATGGCCAGCTTCAGCGAATATTCCTGCATAGCGGGAATTCAAGTGCCCAATAAAAGCCTTATTGCTACAAAGGTAATTTATTATCCCATTAAGTTACAGTTTATAAAGGTGGGTGTTTTTCCTTTTAAATGACTATTCCTGTAGTTTATAAGAAACCTGTTTCTCACGGTCAATTGTTTCTCCCATAAAATAAATGTGTCATCTCTTTTATTGAACCACACATACAGATTGGATGGCTAAATTGATAAAAAATGAAAAGGGAGAAATCATTTACATGAAAAATTCATATTAAATGGGAACTTCCTTTCTTAGGAAATAGAAGTGAGAAAAATATCATTCCTTGTTCCATGACTGATAGATATGAATAAAAATAATATGCTATAGATTATTTTACATGCAAATACTATTGTGTTATCTTTGAATAATATACAAATTCTCTAGATAATCAGTTTGAGACTTCCATTTTCGATTCAGATTTTATTATTAAGTCAGAACCACTCTGTCTTGTCTCTTAGCTGCCATGCTGTCTCTGTGCTTTCCAAATCCAACATACTCCAGGACATCAAACCATACCCTGCTTGTCTTCTGCTTTACCAAGTATCTCTCCAAAATAGCGAAGGGACAATATCTTGCAATTTCTTAAGCTGATATAGAATAATATATACACTACAAAAGACCTTTGTGTACTTGAGTATTAACTGGAACTAGAAGACCTCACAGAGTGACCTTCCTAGTCACCTGGGAAGAAATGAATTCTGAAGAAAGCATGACAATGGGCAAGTGCGAACTCCAGACATCAGTTACAATATTTTGGGCTTGGACTTGACAAACATGCATGATCATTCTGGTTTAAGTGGACTATAAATCAGCCTTGATATTAACAAAGAGCATTAACCAGATTCATCCAGATGTTTCCCCCAGGTTCTACTTTGCCCACGATCCAGTCTATGGGTGAAGATATTATTAAAGATGATCTCTGTGCCTAGCACTCACCCAGTGTTACTGCTGCCCAGCACCCCGGCCAGAAGACTGGCTGCCCCACCTTGGCCCTTGTCTGTGGCTATCTTAGAGGTTATATGTGAGGTAGAGAAAGTAGGAATTATATTCCCAGCAGCTATGATTTGAAAAGGCATAAGATGTTTTATCTTAGAAGGTAGGGGCGCTTTGGTTGTTTCTTCTGATAAGCTTCACTTATGATGGCAGTATTTTGGGGAAATATTTTAGGAATTATTTTTTTCTGAAAAATACAGCTTGTGGGCATAGCGTGAATCAAGTATTCTCCAGAGTGAGATGCATCCTGAAAATACAGATGGACTGGGAATCCAGAGGAAGAGTAACTCCCAGCTCGGTGTGTCCTAGTTAGCTCTGCCAACTTGATGGTTCTTCTGCTGGGAGAAGACATGTGGCATTTACAGACCACAGGGCCAAGGGGAGGCAGGGCACTTCCCAGCTGGAAGATGATGCCAGGCGACTGCTGCAGGAAGAGGAGCACCAAGACGCTGCCTGCGGGGTTGAGGTGGGAGGACAGAATGGACATTTCTCACTGGTTTTTATATGGCTTGTCTTTAAACTGGGAGTCCCGGCTTTGTGTCCAGTTCGTCCTATGTGATTCATAGGCTCTGAAAACCTATTGGAGGGTCAGCTAGGAGTCAGTTCCCACTAACAGCAATGAGTTGAGTTTGTTGGCTCTGGTGGTATGGGGTGTGTGGTCTGTGTGGAGTTGCAACGCTAACCCAAGGCCATGCATCTCAATGATTGGAATCCCTCAGAGCCTGCTCTGGAGAAAGATGGAAGGCAATCTTCTCCTGTGGAATTTACAGCCTCAGACACCAAAGGGAGGTCCAGCCTTGACTCCAAGGCAATGCCTAAACGTTGTGGTTAGAACTCATTAAACAGCTCCATGACAGCTAGTAATCTGATCCTACAAATGTCAAAACCACGAGATAATATACCCACTGCTGCCGAGTCACTTCCAGCTCCTCGTGACCCTGCAGGAATTCCCTCAGAGTTTATGACGCTACAAAACTTTACGGGTGATGTCAGTACAGTTTTCTCCAGCTGAACAACTAGTGGATTTGAACCACCAACCTTTGAATTAGCAGCTAAGTAAGCACTTAGCCACTGCACTCCAGGGCACTGCCTAGAAAACTCTATGGAACAGTTCTTCACGGTCACATGAGGTTACCCTGGGTCAAAAACTAGTCAAGGGTGTGTAATAATACCAGTGGTTATAGTCAAGGTGATTCTGACTCTTGATGGCCCCGTGGGTGTTAGAACTGTGTTCTGTGATACTGTTTGATAGCTGATTTTTCAGAAGGAGATAGCCAGCTATTTCTTCCAAGGTACTTCTGGGTGAAAGAAAATGTCTAGCCTTTTCCTTAAGGCAACAAACTCTGGTTGAGTTTGTGTTAGCAATCTAGTGTGTTGTCTGTACCACCCAGAAATCCAGATGATTATATATTCTCATGCTTTCAGAGGCCACTGGAAATTTTTTTTACTCACGTCTGATGACCTAAGCCAGTATTGCCAGTCACATCCTGCTGGCATGGAAGATATACTGTAGGTCATTTTGACGAGCTTGCACTATGTACTGAGTGCTGGCAAAAGCCAACATGACTTGGAGGCACTGGCCCAGGCTTGTCCTGGGCCCAGCAATCAGGACACGGTGACACCTTGAGATAGAACCAGGGGGAGGCAGTGAGGTTTTAGTATGTCAGAACCTCTCAGTGCCAGTTTATGAAGATGGCCAGAGAGCCCCATGAAGGCTGGGAATCTGGGAAATGATAAGACCATGGGATGTGGTTTGGGGCAAATGGAGCCTGAAACACTGGGTGGGAAAAAGGCAGAGGCTGGCTGTAAGGAGCCTGATGTGCAGAAAATGCTGGGGAACTCGTAGGCCTCAGGGTCTGCCCTGGACAAGTTTGTGCCTGAGAGGTTAAACTTCATCCCAATACTGGACCTCCTGCACACCAGGGGGTGCTGTCAGCTGTTCTACAGTAACACTACAGCCTCCCTTACAGCAACACTACAGTCTGTTCACAATTCCACTGCTTCAGCTTCTCCCCTCAAATAACATGTCCACGTAAATAAAGCACCCTTAGGTAACATGCAGCATAGCGCAGTTACAAAGATAGCATGGGCGAGCAGGGCCTTGGGTTGGGGAACAAAGTATAGTGCGTATTATTTGAGTGACAAATACTTCAATGATAGGAAAGAAACAAAATACGCTGAACAAGATATGCTTCTACCTCCCTGACATGCTATTTCAGCAAAATCATTAAAGCTAGAACCTAACCGGTCTAATAGAGTAAAAATTCTGAACTGAAAGTAGTATTTCTGTTCCTTTTATTTTCCTAAAAAAAGGAACCCAAAAGTGAGTACAGTTGATGCCCACAAATCTGTGATTCTAATTTTTAAAACAAAAGCTTTCTTAATCTCAGACCTTCAGTGTTTCCCCGTGTCGTCTGTGGGCCCACCAGCTTTCACAGGAGCACAGGTGTTAAAAAAGGGTCAATGGGACAGATGAAGAAGAGAACTGTTTAAAAGGGATATATGATTGGGTATTATTGTCATGACAGGAGTCCAGGTTGAAGGCTACACAGTGGAGTGGACTTGGGGGGAGGGATTGTATAACAATGAAAGAGTTTTTCTTTTACTTTTCAAGGAGAAGAGTGAAGTGGGCGGGGAGGAGGTGGGCAGGGAGAAAAGTGCAGCAATGAATGACTGGAAACCCTAAGTCTCTGTAAATTTTCATTAAAATGAATTTTAAAAAAACCCAAAAAAATAGAAGAAAAAAAGGGGGGGCCAGTAAGCTGCACCAGAGTCTACTTACAAGTAAGTAAAGGGAGTCATGAAAAACGAGTTAAATTATCTCCCCAGATGGCGAGAGTTAGCATCAAGCATTTCTTCTCAGTGTGTATTCTTACGTTAGCCCCATATGAACTCAGTGATTGATATCACATTTATTTATTGGAGAAAAAGTATAAATGGTATCAAAGGGCATCAAAGGATTATTTCTTCATGCTGTGTATGAACAGACATTTAATTACCCCTTCGTCTTCTGTAGTGCAATGGCAGTCAATCTCGTTAAAAGGTGGAGTGGCTCAGGCACTGCTTGAAGACGAAGCCTGCAGGGGCCAGGTGGGAAAAACGAGTGAG